GGCTGGGGAATTCTGGGAGTTGAAGTCCACACCTCTTGAAGTTGCTGAGGTTGAGAAACACCGCATAGATGTTGCTAAGGAGGCACTGCCAGTCCTTGGGTGGGTACCGACACCCATAAGGAATCCTTACAAATTCTCTTTCCGAGCTGCTGCTAAGTAACTGAATCTCCCGGCTAAGCTTTGGGAAAAGCCTTTCGCACACTACTAAAGAGAAACCCACACATATCCCCGGCCCTTGCTAAGCCGGTCCTATGGCTGCCTCCCTTTGGTTGCTAAGTACGGTAAATGCAAGGGATTGCTATGGTGATTCTTGCCCCCTCCTTCCCCCCCCATACTAGTTGCACACCGTTGCCATGGAGATTCTGAAACTGTAGCTGTCACAGGCACCCTCCCCAGTCTCGGTCATTTCTAGGCAGACTGAAATTCATCTTTGGGCTTCGGGGCGATTGTGTTGCTGGGACCCCAATTCTTCCTCAATCATGCCTGGAGGTAAGTCCTCTTCTTTAAAGGGGTCTTAAAAGTTCAAGGTGTTGGAAAGTAGTTAGTAGAGAGCTGAACTAATGCCATTTTAGAGAGGAAGTTAGCATTTCACCATTGTAGAGGAGCAAAAGGGTCACATAGATAGAAAGAAAGGGATAAGAAGAAAGCAAATAAGGCTTGCCAATTAGAAAGTGAGAAATCAGGCTATGCCTTATTAGGAAAGTAAAACTTGAGAATTTTAGAATTAGGCACAAACTAGTTGTTTATATCTACGGTGATCATATTTTCTTGGAAAAAATAAAGGACAAACCTGAAAAAGGGGCAAATCTGAAAGAGATTTATAAGGATAAAAAAAATGTTTATAACTTTGCTTTACAAGGAAAATGCAAGAGCAAAACCAAGAAAACAAATAATTAAATTAGATAAATCTAAAGGTCAGCTTCCTAAAATAAAAGACTGTCCTTTATATTAAAAGATGTATGGTCACTGTATTTATACCTCACTATAAAAGAGTGTTGTGCCCTTGGCGTGGGGCTAGCTGCAGTCGATGCTCTTGCCTTGTGTGTTAAATAAACGTTTGAACTCTGGATCATGGTGTTTGGTGTTTTGACCCAAACAAAGGACAAACCATAGGGAAGAAATTCTTCCAACGAGGGAACTCCTCTGCTAATGCCTCGTACAAGAGAGAAAAACCAAGAAGCCTTGCAGAAGGCTTGGTTCTCTGTAACATGTAGCATGTGTGAAAGATCCAAGAGCTTGAGTAGTTAAGCCAGAGATTGCTAGCATATTGTAAAGGAAATGACAGTTGTTGATCTGTCCAGTATGGCCATAGAATGGTGCTCTAAGGAACAGTTAACATTCCCCTGAAATGCTAGATCTGTGAACAATGATGCCATCTAATCACACTGTGATCTTACTACACAACAGACTTCATGAGAGGACCCACACAAACCCCATATGGCTGAGGTTCCACTTGAGAGGGGGTTGTTAAGCTTCAAGACTAAAAAAGATTGCCCAATCCAGATCGTTTGTTTGTTTCATGGATTTATAAGGCTGTCTAACTCAAAGTGATTCAGGGTGGCATACAACAAAAACAACAATAATATAGAAAAATAACCATTTAGCCATATTATCACTGAATAGTACATATATGGTTGCAAACTTCAATCACCAGCTTAGAAATCCAAATGGATCACATTAAATTCCAAGTAAGAAAAGGAAGCTTCAGTTCATTTAACACTTCTTTAATGATTACAGTAAAAATACCTGCTTTTGATTAGGAAATTATATGCAAACATTATTATGCAAGTCATATAAGTTCCAGGCTGCTTCTCTGTGCCAATTCCCATCCAAAAAGAAAATCAAGGCTGCACAGTGGCTCCACTAATTTAAAATTTCTACATTCATTAATCTAAACCCCAGAAAACTTCAGCCACCAAACTGAAAAATGTATACTGGTGATACAGTCACCCTTCCCACAATTTAGAGAAGCCAGAGTCTGCAAGCCCTTGCATTATATCATGTAGAGCAGTGTTTTTCAAACTTAGCATCTTTTACATGTGCGGACTTCAACTCCCAGAATTCTGCAGCCAGTGGAATCTTTAAGTTTTGGTATCTTGGCATCTTAAAGTTGCCAAGTTTGAAAAATACTGAGCAGAGGAAAGATTTGTAATCAAATATCCTAAGACAAAAGTAATGGTCTTCACCAAAAGGCTTGACAGCTGAACTCACTGTTGGAAAATAAATAATACCTTCAATATAGGCCTTAATTAGTTAGGAATTACTTTTCCATTCTCCATCATGTGGTGCAAACAATAGAAACCTGGTTCTAATCACGCTGATAAGACTGCTCATTGCAGTTTTGTATTTTGCAGACAGCAGAGGCAGTAACCATGTACCCATAGCCATTAATATCCTTAGATTTACCTCTCAAACATAATATCTAATGGAGCAGTCAAATGAGCATTTTAAAAATCCTTTCCGAATGACTCAGAATGTTCCCCATTCTTTGTTATAATTGGAATCTGGACTTAACTTCCTCAGGGTTTTGTATGAGGCTTTGTCACCTTAGATTTGGAGATCTTCATGGATAGTTCTTAGATTTTAGATAATACTGCTTCTCAGTTTAATACTTAATTTCAACAGAGCTTGAGGAAGCCAATCCAATGCAGAACTGAACCAATGAGCCTTTGATATTAACTTTCACAGTGGTCAGAATACTATTCCCCACTAAATGAGGAATAGTCCGTAATTATATTCACTAATTATTCAATGAGTATCTTGAGTATATCACATCAAAAAGTTTTCTCCCTGAACTCCCATGCTGACAGAGGGGAGATAGACAATGTTCCTATTTACTGAGGAACATTTAGTCTGTTATTCATGTTATAACACCCCTGACGTTAAACTGTTCTGGCTGGTCCTCTGAGAAAATTTGCTTTTGATTTATGTGACTGCTAAAATATCCAGAAAGGTAGTCGGGTTTTGTGCAATTGCTAATGAGAGACTAAGAGTTTAGTCTCTAAACATCCTATAGATGTTTATTACCCTCATGGCATGGATAAATCAAATTAGTCATTTCTGCTTATTGTTTTTTTATTTTCTTTTACATTTTATTGTTTTCACTTTTCTGTGTTTTCTTTTCTGGAATCATATTTATTGACTTTTTGGAATCATATCTTTTTCCGTTGTTTGGTAAATAAATCAAATTACTCATCCACTTACATACTTCCTGTAAGATTTATCTCTTCAAGTGGACTGATTAAAATCAGTGGATCTACGTTAATCACAATTAATTTGTCCCATTCATTTCAGGGGGGTTAAGTATAATTAAATCTGACTCTTATTAAAGGTAATCATGTCTCAGATAGTTTTTTCCAGCACTGATTAATGACAATAACAACCAAACTTTGGCAAGTAAAGCTATACAATACAATCTATAAGCAGAGTTGTAATCAGCGAACAAGATTCTATACAAAATTAAGAATCTTCCTCTTCCTCCTAATGGCCTTCTGGAAATATGTTACCTTTTATTTCCTTTGAGAGTTCTTTTCCTATAAGATCTTCCTTACAAACCTTCACTGTCAGAAACAACAACAACGAGGAGGGGAGGTTTGCTTTTATCATGACACACTAGCTGGTTTGCTAACTTAAACCCAGATAAACCAGAATCCTTGTCTACTTACCTTCAGCAAATTTACAAGGATCCCCCACTGGAGGAGTGTGCTTGACAAAATCTCTCATTGTCCAGAGGAATGTGCCAGTGCAGAAAGAGGACCCAGAGAAGATGTGAGTATTCCTACTGTTTAAATTGATATCAAAGTTTCTTTCAGGTGCTAATAATACTTTGTGGGGAGGGGGGGAGGGGGGAAAGGAGAACAGGAATAATGATTCTGGTTGAAAAACATCTCTCCAATTCCAGATCTGAAGCCTTGACTTCTCTACAAGTCCTACGGCTAGATAGGGAGAGAATTAGCTGCATTGCCAACCTGCCAGATTTAAAACAGGTCCACAGCATCTATTTACAACAGGTAACATACTCTGCCACATTCTTTGTTATTGAATACAGCACTGTCTTTGAAAGGCAATGTTCTTGCTTTTGGCATTTGAGGCACGTACCTCCACTGTGTACCACTAGCTGCCTCCCAACTCCTTTTGACAAAAATTACAGAACTTATATTGGGTGGGGATGATAGGAATTGTCCAACACGGTTGGAGGCACCAGGTTAGAGAAGGCTGATTTAGAATATTTCAGACTTCAAGATTGGGCCTAAAAGTGTTTATGTGCTCAGAGTTTGTCTGTTTCCTTTTTTTGTTGGACTGTTGAAGATATACACAAAACAATATTTGCTTAGCAGAATTCATACAGGAGGAATCCAGATTTCTTGGCAGGGTGAATTAGAATTTGCTTTGGTGCTGATCTTATTTTTATTTTTAAATCAAATTCTTAATCTTCATGGTAATATTTATCTATTACCATGAAGGGCAAAATGTTTTACTTGGATGCAGGTTGGGTAGAGTCATTCCAAAATAAAGATAGTCTGCCATTTTTAATAATACCTCCTACAATGTTTTATGTATATAACAGTACAACTCAGGAAAACAGGCAGCAGAAATGTCCACAAACATACATGTTCATCTTTCCTACTATTTCTGGTGTTTGGGATGATAGTGCTGTTGCTTATATAGTCAAAACAGTACTACTCAGAAGGTATCTCAAAGATTGCACAAAGACCTAACATTTGTAGTAAACAGCAGCTAGGAGAAAGACTCCTTTTCCAAAGTCTACTCAGAGCAAAGCATATATATTTGTATACAGTAAATGAAACTTTCCCAATGCTCTTCCTGCATTTCATAACATGTTGAGACTTGTGCTGATTTCATTTTTAGAATCAAATAGAGAAAATTGAAAACTTAAGTGGCTTTCCAAACTTGAAGTAAGTGGTATTTCTCATTTTTCTTACATGATTTAAATGATCAGAAAGGGAAAAAATTACAAAATCATCCTTAGTTTGTATAGAAATGAAAGAATTCCGTGTGTCAAATTAAGTCCAAATGGTTGTGATAAAATATGATAAAATACATACACTGAACAATAACAATTACATATTTTGTTATTATCACATATACTGTAAAATGTAACTATGGCTGGGTTCACATATCTCAGAGACCTGCTTTTCTTAACAGCTGGTTAGCTGATCCATTTCCTGTGGAACAGTTTTAGAAAACTAATTTGCAGCTAAATCACTGAGAGGGTATAGTGTGCGTGTTTGTGTGTGTAACTTGAACTACAGTGGGCTTCAGTGCCAAAAAGTAGCCCACCCTTCTCTAGGCTTGTTTATCTCAAGGATAAGCCTGTATTGGTGTGTAATGCTACAGGTGGGGTCACCCCTAAATTAAAAGTATTCAGTACAGAAAACTAGCATGGTTAGAAAGCTGGGAACCTTATTTTTGGTTTGCTAGTTTTTTACATGAATGAGATGCATTTATCACTTCAGTGAGAACTAGGCCAATTTTAAAGACAGAGGGATTCAGTAATGAGAATCAAAAACTTCTAGTTGATTTCCAGCCCAGACAGGTAATGAAAGGAAGCTGATAGCACCTGGCTTTGAGAGTTGGATTGCAACTCTATCTGCTGGTGAGAAGTAGATTGCATGCTTTATGATGTCATTGCTCATTAGTGCATCATGGCTTCAGTATATTTCCCTTTTTCTGAAAGGCAGTGTCTTACTATTGTTTTAGTCTTAAGGGTTTTACATCTTCAATGTCTTGCCTTCTCACATGCTTCCAGGTTTCTATCATTAGCTGGGAATTACATCAGCAGAGTGGAAAACCTCCAGTCTCTCCTCAAGTTGAAGTTTCTGGATCTTTCACAGAATTGCATTGATATTCTAGAGATAGGTTAGTGTAACTATTCCTCTATTCATCTCTATCATCTATACCAGCCATCCTCAGTGTGGTTCCTTCCTGATATGTTGGGACTACAACTATAGCTGTCAATAACCATTATCATCAACCATCAGGGAATTATGAGTTGTACCCTCTACAGTTAGAGAAATTGGATCAAGCAATGCTGACCTATACTTATATTCTCCCATGACCTACACTATAGAACACTATATTATTGAAATTCAGCCCTTCACTTTGACTTAAAAAAAAATTATCCTGCCTTTATTATTTTTATAAATAACTCAAGGTGGTGAACTTGTATCTAATACTCCTTCCTCCTCCTATTTTTCCCACAACAACCACCCTGTGAGGTGAGTTGGGCTTTTTTGTAAGACTAAACCAGATTTGTCAAGAATTTATTTAGCAATTCGATTAATAAAATACTAAAATAGTTGTATTTTACGCTTGATAAGTAATGCTTCATGAAATCATGAACCAGCTTCCTGCATCTCCAAAAAACCCTACATCAATCTGTATTTATTTACACTCTCACCAGCTTCCCTGTTTCTACCTTCTGGCCTATATAGATGAGCTGCCTCTGAACCTTGCAATCCTTGACCTGACTGGAAATAAATGTGTGAATCAAAAAGGCTACAGGTAAAACCAGGAAAACAAATCATACTGATTCATAATAACGTATCCTGTAATTACATTTTCTAGCTTCTTGTTCTTCAAGCTGAACTTGGAACTTCCTTAATCCCTGCCAGCGTAAGAACTGGAACAACATCTCTGGAGGGGATTAGGTTGGGGAAGGTAGTACCCCATCACCAAGGCTGCCCCACATATAAATGTGCAACATCATGGAATATGGCAAAAGACATTAGGAAATAGGGTTGCTCTGAATCAACTGAGAATATGGGGAAATGAGGCAGTACTTTCTGGGCCAGACAGTGTAACTTACAGCATCTCTTCCATTTAAAACAAAACAAAACTGAATTGTTGAATGTAAAAGATTTTGCCTCCTGCTTTGATTAATCATCAAAGAGCAGGGCATGGAGATGAACTTTTTAATTTGATCCCAACTTCCTCAGCCATGTATTTCCATTTCTAGGGAGTGTGTGTTGGCGGCCTTGCCCCATCTGATAGCACTGGATAGCAAAGGCATTCCTAAACAGGAAGCCACAGTCCAAAACAATGAAGAGGAGGAGAACAGCTCAGAAGAAAGTGACCATGAGGACTATCCAGAGCTCGCTCAGCCACTAAGCACAGAAAAAGGTATTCCAACTTGCACGGCCAGCTTTTGGACATTACAAAAATGTGGAAGCAAAGACTTTCAGGTTCTGCGATGAAAAAAAAAGACTATTGAAAAGAAGTATCATGAAAGGCATCAAGAGATTCAGATTCCCTTGATGTTTCCTAATAATCTTAGGGTCACTAACTTACCTCACAAAAACACTGGGATGATAAAAGAGAGGGAAAATCATGGACACTGGTTGAAAGCCACAATATACATGCAATAAATATTATGCACAGTAAAAAATTATAACCATTATACATATTGTCCTCATTATTCTCAATTGTAATGACATTTATCTTCACCAAAAAACCTCTCTTTTATTCCCAAAGTAGAGAGGAAAATACAAGGTCTGGTAGATAATCTTTGTTTAAAAACTGATAATATTAAATATGTTTTAATTATATTTACTATTAAAACTACTATTCTTAAAATAAGAGACAACAGAGATTTTGAGCAATTTCCTGGCTGAGCTGACATTTAGTCAGACTGCACTGGTTCCTCTGACAGTTGCCCTGGTTACTCTGTACATACTGGTAGCTCTGATGCAGAATTGAAATCTGTACCTTGAGCAGGCACCTTCTGGCTTACATGTATCCATGTTAACAAAAGTAATTTGCAGCATTCTCCAATTCTGCAACGTCTATGCAAATTTGCTGAGAACAGCTAGGTAATTTTTTTCTGAATGAACTATGGCAACCACAACTTTGTCCTCATGCTCTTCTTTTGCTAGACTTCTTTGTTGATCTCCATAATGAATTCAGTAGTCGCTCAGCCTGGCGGAAAGAGAGAGCAATGAGGGAACACGAAGCCCGTCTGGAAGAGCTGAGGCAGCGGCAGAATCTGAGGCAGCTGGTGTTCGGCACCAGTGAAGGTAGACCTGAGGCCCTAAGTATACCAGAATCAAGATCCCCAGTTCTAAACAACAATCTGCCTCAAAATGAGTGCCACACTGCTTTGAATCCATGGCAAAGAACAGTGAATCCAGCAGTTGATACAGGACTGAATACTCCAAAGGGGAAAAATGAAGGCATAACCCAGGCCCAGCTGAAAATATCAAAAGGAGAGAGATCTAGCGCAGCTACAACTACAAACAAGAACATAAAGAAATGATAATTTATTGAATCATTCTTTTAATTATACAGTTCTTTATTTTATCAAACAAATATACTTCTTTTCATTTGACAAGTATTGTCCATTTTTTAAATAAGAAATTATGAGCTGTTGGGAGAGGCAGGAGGAATATGATTGCCAGTCAGAAAACTAGAAAAATGGGTAATCTACACAGTAACTTGCAGGAAACACTTCTACTGAGAAAAAAGGGAGGGACAGGGTAGTTAATGGCAGGTTTACTCATACCGCAGAAATTTGCCCCTTTCTACTGAAATATAATGAGGTTTCCTGTGCCTTTTAATAACATCTGTAGCGCAAATGTACAGTAATGAATACTAATTTATCTTTGTGGCATCAAAAGGCCTCAAGAAAAATACCGGATTATAAAATTGTACTTAGAAATCTTTGTTAGGAAATTCTAAGCCTACTAACAAAACTTGATTAGGAACTAAAATTGTTACATATACCTAAACCCGGATGTTTGCATGTCCCTTTCAGTGGGGATTACATGAATTCGTGTCTTTCCAAATTACTCAAGTTTCATGTCTAAACTAGATGCAAATTAAAGCGCATTTAAAGCTACAGAGAGCCATAAATTCTCTGGGTTTGTCCCTAAAAAGTCTGGGATGAGATTATGTGCTTCAGTTGAGGAAGTAACTCTGTTCCAAATTTACTTGTCAGGAGGAAACTGGGGAAAAAATGAATTTGAAAATCAAGACAGCAGAAAAGTGTAATGGTCTCTTCCTGGTTCTTTGAAGTTCTGAGCTGTGTCACACTGCTCACTAAATCAGGATTTTTATATAATAGTTTGTTGAATAAACCACCATAGTTTGATACCATAGAAAGCGATATACAGCTGTGTACTATGCTAAGAGTTATACCATAATGCAGTTTGTTTCACTTTGGCATAAATATGTGAACATTGTAGTTTGTTTAACATAGTTTATGATTAACATGTATGAACTTGGCACCTTGTGCACACAAGACCAAAACATGTTGCTGTTTAGTGAAAAGCTATTTGGGGGAAACCTTTGGTTTTTTAAGGGAATTTTTAGGTTTTTCTCCCTAGTCCCATTCTTTTGCACCATGATCCCATATCCTGCAACTTCAGCAGTAGGAGTCTGATACAAGCATCATGATGTCATCACACAAATGATATAAGTAATTTGCTTAATGTGCACAATTATGTCATAATGCATGTGATGTCATTCCTCTGCTTGTCCCCTGCAGACTCCCATGGCCTCAGCCTCCCCAAACTGATAAATGCATTTCTAGCCCTTGGTTTTATGGATCCCCAGATGTCACACAGATTATTCATATGAATTCCAAAAGCTAATTCAGTTTAGTGGACAAATCCCAAGGAAGTCCCACATAACTACAACTAAATGCTTCTATTGGTTTGTCTATAGAGATGTTCTATTTTTAGTCATTATATCGGATCTCTCTCTTTAGCTTTTTTACCTTAACCCACTTTTTAATGATAACACAATCCCAAAGCAGGGATACAAAAAAACCCTACCACTTTATGAGCAATTAATAAAACTTAGGTTACAATAAAAATCTTAAAATTCCCAAATTTTTAAACCCATAAAATAATTAAAACATATCACACCAGACAGAAATCCTGTGATCATGCCAGTGGCTGTAATTTCCAGAACTTGATACATAATCACAATCTAAGGGCGTTACCACTATTGTTTTCATTCCCCCACCCCACCCCACAAGAAATATAAATGCAGTAAGTAATTTTTTCCTCAAATAACCACAGGGCCAGAGGACTGGAAGATAACCAAATGTGTCACCAATTTTTAAAAGGGACCCAGGGGAGATCCCATAAATTATAAGTCTGACACATATCTGTTCCAGGCAAAATGGTAATTAAAGAAAAATAATTAAGCAGTAAATAATTTGACACAGTGGAAAAAATCTTGCTGAAGGAAAATCTGCACAGATTCCACATAGATAAATCCTGTTTCACCAACCTTCTACAGTTGACAGTTTCAGTAGCACTTATGAAAGGCTGAATCAATTTAACAGGCAAGGGATAAGAGGATCTGCCCTTTTATGGATTGCAAACTAAAAAGACAGAAAGGAATGAGTAGGAAAAAATGGGCAGTCGAGTTCCTCAAGGATCTGTGTTGGGATTGGTGCTTTTTAAGTTGCTTATGAATGAATTATCTTGAGTTAGGGGTAAACAGCTGACTTGAAATGCTGAGAACTAGGAACAGAAGTTGATGCCTCACCTCTAGCTCTTGCAGGACATCTTGCAGGATGGAGGGAGGGAGGAAATACATTTGCATTTTGCTCAAAAGAGAAGATAGAAAATGACAAAATGCCTATCAGTTTCATCCTTGCTAATTTTTCCTCTGGGCTACTGATCAGGTAAGTGCAAATCAATAACATTTCCCTTAGAGGGCCTAAAGCTCAAGGGCAGGGAGCCATTGGAAAACAAATGTTCCTTTCAGCAGAGAAACAGAAGCTCATAAAACACAAAACAAAGAAACCATAGCTTTGCTCCAGTTTCATCTATACAGCAACCGAGAAAAGAAATAAATTCAGTACTGCTGATGTAAGACCCAGAGATTAAGATCTGCTTTTAAACAGGCTTAGAACCCTTATGTAGCTGTACCCTAAGAAGGGAAAGATTCAGTGTGTCAGTAGCACAAGGATTAAGCCCCAACCCACCTGACCATTAAGTCTCCATCATCTATACAGTTTGAGTTCTGCATCCACAGAATTGCAAAAGAGGCCAGCCAACTCCTGGGGTTTCACAGTGACAGAGCCTGTCAACACATTTTTCACACTCTCCAGAACTTGCTGCTGAAATTTCTTCATAGCCTCCTGCAGTCTCTGGCATTCAAGCTGGGAAGGAAGGAGAGGAAGGATAGTATATGAACGGAGACTATAAGACACTGTTTTTAATCACAGCATGCTGCAGGTGGACAATGAGATACAAGCAGTGGCACGTGGACAGGTTCTCTGGAAACAGCTAGTGGGCTATCCTCACACCAGGCAAGAAGGCTTTGTACCTGTGGATTGGCTGTTGCAACCAAAATATCAGATTGCTTATGCCAGAATAAATTTGTTAGTCCTGAAAGTGACTGTGAAGAAGACTGAATATATCCCACTGGGACTCCCAACTTCTTTGCTACCACAACTCTCCAAGCTATTTGAAGCACAATATCACAAACACAGATGGAATCGTGAAAGGTCAAAGCTCAATGCTAGTTCTACAAAGCATGATGCAATTACAGAATGCCGATCCAGCCTCTGCTTAAATCCAGCCAGTAGAGGAGCATTCCAGGGCCCATCTGTTCCACAACCCAACAGCTCTCGCCTTTTAAGATTTAGCTAACGTTTGAATTCCTGCCAATTCTATCCATAGCGGCCTCTATGGGAGGTAAAGCCAGACAGTTTAAAACTGTGAGGGCTGCACAAAACACATGGGAGTTCACCTGATTACAATCCATGACTTCCAAGGCTAACTGATGTTGCTTGTAGAGATCGTGCCGACGGTCCACTCGGCTTTGAAATCTTGGAGTGTCCCTAATGGGGTCTTTTTCACCAAAACTTGGTGATTTCACCTGAGGGAAGGAAGTAACATTGGGAACAAAGATAAACGGTTTGAAGATAGACCTGCCAAGAAGAGAAAAAGGAAGTCCATTAGGTGCAATATTCAAAAGTCAGGCACTCTTATTAATTTAATTTAAAATTTTAAAATCCCTAAAGCATGAACAGGAAGCAAGGGCAGAGGGAAAAGACAATATTGCAGTGCAATACAGGCAGTCCTTGGGTTGTGCATGAGTAGAGTTATGTAACCTAAACCTTACATGAAAGGTGCAAAAAAGTAGTTGCTCTTTTTCACATATGTGCAGCATGCAATCTGAAGTACAGAAAAAAATGGCTTAAGGCTAAAAAAGGTGAACAGCATCCACTCCTTCATCTGCCTGGTTCCTTTCAACTGAAGCCAGAAGTAATGTAGGACATGCTGCTCAAACGCGTTCAGATATATTCTGCATGTATTGAAGCTTCAAGGGGAGCTTTATGAAAAGCCAAGGTTGGCAGGAAGAGACTAGGGCTCATTCTCATGTTACTGTGAGAGCTGTTTCACAGTGATAAGAAGGTTAGGAGCCATTTCCAAAACAACTTGCAGGTGCATCAAGAGACCAGCATTCACTTCATTGCATCAAAAAATCACAAAATTAGGCTCTAGTTGCTTTAAGCTACCTATAGATATTATGTCTCATTTTAAAGTAAAAATACTTGCCCAAATTCGTGTGCTTTTTTCCCTAATAAATCTTACTAATACTCATTTCTTGGATACATTGTTTCCAGTCCTAATTGTTGCAAGACATCTGACACTAACAAAGGCACAAAGATGTCCCAGTGACTGGCTTTATATGACATGTTCTCATGACATTGTTTTTGTGTCATCCTCAGCCCACCATGGAGGTAGCTAAATATTGTTCCAGTTTTTAGGTAGCATTTTCCCTCTCCTCCTGACACAATTTTGCACACTTCATTAACGGTGTGGTTCATGATGTAATGGGAGACTGGGACTGCCCAGCTTCTTCTGGCCACTTCTGGTTGTTGGAGAACCACCACCCCTTGCCCATCCTGTTTTGGGGCACTGCCTCCTATGGACATCAGCATCTGCCTATGTAACTTCTGACCAGCACTTCCCAAAGCACTTGCTGGGTTTTTTGCAACCTCCTAATATACACAAGCTTAGCACTATTTGGAATTGTTTTTAAAACATGGATTAAAAAAACGCAGGGCTAGCTCTTTCTTGAGAGTGTGCCAGTCCTGTGCTGCATAGAAGAACAATTTAAACTGGGGCAAAAAATACAAAACAGAAACAAAACCTGGGGTCTGCCAGCTGTGTGTTGCTGGTTCTGTTACCAACAAGCCCATTAGAGGTTTTTGGCTGCCTCTATCAATAAGCTATTTCACATGGCGCTACTTTTTACTGTTTTTATTACTTATTGGGTGGGTGGGGGATACCATTTTGACTATTCCAGAGGCTAGTTCTGGGTGCTGCCAGCCACACCAACTCACCGCCATCCCCTTGCAACACTGGTTGAGGACAGAGCTTGCTCATTGCTAACTGTTTATTCCTGCTTCGCCCAGTGCCCATGGGTGCAACCTGTCAGCCAGGCTATTTTTGGACACAGGTTTAATGCGCATTCAGAAAGGTGTAAACCCAACATTCACAAATAGCCAGATAGATAACAGGTACAAAACACCTCCATGCCTGCAATCTGTTAGTTGGGCAAATCAGTTGGTGGCCACAGTAGCTATACTAAGTACTTGACTATGCTCGCCCATCCCCACCCCACCCCACCCCATGTTAAACAGAAGGACTGTTGTTCCCACTAGCTGGTGACATGGGGTGGGAGGGGAACAAAGCCAGTGGAATCCGCCAATCACTTTCCTTAATTTGTGCCACATTAAAACAGAAGAAAGAGCCCCACTTGTTAGCTTCACTACCAAGACAGAAAAATAATCTGCAGTGATGGCAACACAATTTATGCTGGCATACTGTTCTGCCATCTCATGAATGGGAGGAAAGTCTGGCTTTGCCCTACGTATGCACATTTGAGACTCATTAAACAGAACTGCTGCTCACCTAGAAGGGTCCGGGGTAGCAGTGAAAAAATGGATGCAAGGTAGGAGGGGATCTTGAGGGAGGATGGATACCATACTTCCTGTGGTGCAGAAACCTTCAGAATCAACACAGATCCCACTGGCTTTGTCCCTTAAGATGGTCATAATTGTCTCAGCAGTAATCTGGCCTACAATGACAAAGAATGTTACATGAATGCCAAAGGAGAAAGAACATCAGTCATCCCATCATTTTAATTTTTTAATATTTTTAAAGGTGCTAGAATTCATATGTACCTGAAAAGAAGGTACCACTAGTAAAGGCACCATGGTAGATTTAGGGAACAATTAATGAAGGCATAGAGTAAGGTAGATAGATGTGATGGATGGGGCACAATTTGCAAATAAACCTCCAGCTGCAATGGACTTCAAATGATGTCCAAACATTCAATTCCCAGGATTCCCAGTCATAGTAGCCAATACTGAAAACTGAAGTTGGAGGGCACAAATTAGGAAAGACTGCCATGCACTATCCCAGTCCAGCACATTCCTGCTGAACTGGGATTGGGAGAATTAGGTGGTGCTAAAGCACCTTTCCACCAATGCGGTGCCCATCAGATGTGTTGGACTTCAACTCCCAGAATTGGTCGTGCTGGGAATTTTGAGAGTTGAAATCCCACGTATCTGGAGAGCACCAAGTTCAGAAGGCTGCCTTAGAGCCACTGAGACCGATTCAGTCAGTATTCCTGGAGTTGAAGTTCAAACCACTGGAGGGCACAAGCTTGGGGAAAATTGCTTGAAGGAATCCCTAAGCAGCAGGACCCCATTCCTTCAGATCCCCATTTCCATATGAGCTTGACTTCCAATGCTCTTCCCTTCACATCTTCTGAAAGCGCACCTGAGTGTTGGTGTAGCAGCTGCTGGCCAGCACAATACCGAGCTTTGGCTGCCTCCATGCGGATGGGCTGATGGATGAGCGAAAACACTTCTGTGAAATTGAACTCTCCTTGACCGTTCCACCATCCTTGCTTTTGAGCATGTTGTCTTAGACCCACATGTTCACTGGTAATGTCAGTACCAATAGTTAGCTGGTTGGAAATATTCCGGGCACCTTCTGTGTGGTTGGAGGAAAAACAAAACTGTTTACTAAAGTGGTGGAATTGGGTCTACTGCTGGCACAGCCTTCCCCTATATGGTAAGTTGTAGTAGGCTTCCTTTCAGAAGAGGCATTCTCTCTTCTCTCTCATCTCACACAGAAGGAATGTCTCTTCTAGAGCAGAACTCCAATATCTAAAGTTTTATAACTATTGGGAAGAAAGAATAAATAACTCTTAACAATCTGCTTAAATCACTTTGTTAGCTAAGTTAGTTTGAGATAGTCTGCCCTATTATATAAAATTTTAAGCCTATGTATTCAGAATTAAGTCTGAGTTTAATGGGTCCGTAACATTAAGCAAGATTTGATTCAGATGCCAGTCATGTCCTATGTTTACAGTATTGGCTGGTTTTTCTACTGCCATTATACATTTATCATTAGCCTCATTTGGAATAAATGCCATTTCTCTGATCGTACAGATCAGCAACTTGTAAAGCTAATGAGAGTTGGACTCCAGTAACATCTTGGCTTAAAGCCTAAATAAATGACTAAGCAGCTTATATGGGTAGGAAGAGTTGCTCTCTTAGATTCTACCAGGAACCCACTTTGAAATCTCAGGTTCTATAGCACTGAAAGGCCCCAAATAAAATATATTTACAGTCAGGTC